TAAACAATTACAATATATATTTTTGAAAGCATTCTTACTTTACAACATTTTTTCATACCTGCCTAAAACCTTTGCACAGTACTGTAGATCTTTAAGTCAAGTTAATATGTGGTATCAGTAATAATAATCAGCACAATGTGACTTATAAATCAAAGTGAAAACTTAGTCTTATCCAGTCAATAATATTAACTGCTAGGATGGTCTACACCTTTCATTGGAAACCACGTATAATTCCTTCTGTAGACGAATGCCAAATTAAGTTGTGGGAGTATGTCTTGATTTTTTAAATTTATTATTAAATTTATGCCACCCATCTCTCCCAAAGGGTGACTAAGTAACTTCATATTTGAAAAACAGATCAGATGCAGAATTTAACCTAACATGGAAATAATTTCTGGATTATAATTCTACTCATGGGTTTATACCACATCAACATTTGCGTTTATCTTAACACAGAGTGTTAACATTTAACTCTTGAATGATTTGTTAAACAAGGATTTTTTTTTAATTGACTAATTTTTTTTAATTGACTATTCTTACTGGGAACCCTCATTTTGCTGCAATTGGTGAATATACTTTTATTTCAGGTCATGGTTACAGTCAAGATGAATACATTCTGAACTCTGCTAATGTTCTTTCTGCTATTAAAAGTTTTTCTTATATGTTCTAGACTAAAAAGTGACGATTTGCTTCTCAAATGTAACCTGTTTGTTTCTTCTGATTCTTGTCATTCTCCTAACACCGAACATTCTGCTATACTAGCTACTAAGCCCAGGCACTATGATGATACTCATTCCAAACTTACTGTACTCCATGTTTCTTTCAGGATTTGAAGCAGTGGTTGAACCTGACAATATTACTTCTGCTTTATATAATGATAAACATTTAATGTTTACCTTCAAAGTATTTTGAATACAAATAGAACTATTTACTTGAAGAGGAAACTTTCTCAAACCTGGTTCAATAAGGTGAAGCCAAAAAAGCAATATAGCCCAGTCGATAATCAAATATAGGTGATAATTGCTTCATTCCAGGAGTATTACCACCACAAAATTAGTATAAATCTATGTAATTAATTAATGTAAGAATTAATGTAATTAATTCTTAATGTAATTAAGAAAAAGAAGCTTGCTCTATAGAGGAGATCTTTTATTTCCTCCTCTTGAATCAGACTGATCATAGTGGCTCAGTAGGAACTTATTACACTAATATTTCAATATCCCCAGTTTCTCTTGTTAAGTTCCAGAATAATTCATAATATTGGTTTAGAGCACACATGGGCAAGCCATTGGGCACACACGTCTCTCAAATGCTATCTGTGCAGAGGCTAGGAACCTTGCTCAATCTCTGCTACAAACTGATTGCTATTTCTGTGCTTATCCCAATTTATCACTGAAGGGTGAATTTAGGGAAAGGTTTGACCTAATCTCACAGTCCAGCTGTAATCAAGATTGCAACTTTGCTACTACTAATAGCAACAAAGAAAAACAATCTGTCCCACATTGGGATAGCTGGAGGGGAAGATGTTGAAGTCTTACAAACATACTCTTTAAATCTAACTCTGTGCATGAGGGAATGTACATGACATAGTCCCATACATCAGCCTCATCTCCACATGCAATGAGGCATGGTTCCACAAGTGTCAGTGTAGCCTTAGCCCCCAAATCATCCCATCCTTGATGTTACAAACTGGCAGGAAAGCTAATTGAAAATCTGCCTATTAGGGCCATTCTTTCAAGGCCTTTTTCAGTAAATGTAGAGAGCCACAGAGATGACCTTGAAGAAACTGCAGAAATGGTTACAAAAACAAAAAGTATTAAGCCTGGAAAACAGAAAAAGGATTAGAAAAAGCTCAGATCGGCTCCATCCTCATTCACTGGGGTATAAGAGGGAGGGAAGGGAAATGTAGGCTTTCAAAATTCTGTTTCCATGGCTTATGTTATTAAAGTATCATTCCAGTCAAACTTGTGGAATCTGTCTCCTGACCTGGCCTTCCTCAAAGGGCTAACATCAAAACATAATTATGATAGGCTGCAACCAATCTGGTCAAACCTCCTGATATCCCCTAGCCCAGCTTCTACCTAAGACATCTTCATTCAGCCCAGCTTTAGGAAAATATAAAGGAAGGTACTCTGGATCTACCCATGCAATGTCCAGAAACATAAACTTTATGCCAACTTTGAAATACAAGAAGTAGCTATGTAACCATGCAGTCCTGCACACAGGGAAGGTTTTAATGAGAAGCTTACTTGTAAAACTGATGAACCAAATCTCTAGGTATAAAAAGGAAATTACTGTATCGGGAAGAGGGAAATATAGGGGAAAGAAAGGACAGTAACCACACAGAATCCCAAATAAAGTTGATTTAGTCACCCTGGCTAAACCAGTTCACCATAGTCTCTCTACTCAAGGGTTTCCTCAAGAAGTAAAATAGCTCAAGGACAGATAGCCTTTGCACTGAGTCTTTAATCCTGCAGATCAAGATCTCCACATGCTGTACAAATTGTGCACTGGTACCTGTTGCTCAAGCAGCTACTTAAACAACAGGTTAGGTGGCACTTCGTTTGAATGACAGTCCTGAGGGATCTAGTTTCAGGATAGGTTGGGCTCAACCCTCTAGTCAAAATTTGTTCACTGGTTTCCTTTTTATGCTATGATAGAAGTATTCTGCAATCTTAAGGCTCTTCCCCATAAGCTTGTACCTGACACACCAGTTGTTGATAAAATGAATTTGGTACTGAGTTCATCAACACCAACTGCATTCTGCACAAAAGTTCAAGAGATGAATTATTTCAATTACCCTTCCAATTACATGCAATAAGCCAGATATTGGCTAATAAATTTCAGAGCTTTGCACTTTCTAGATTAACCAATTGACAGGTCGACCAACCCACTTTAAAAAAAGTGGCCAAGGAAGGTTCTGGTGTCCTTTAGAGCCAAAAGTGGATAGAGGGGTAGTAGAGCAGGTCCGGGACTAGATGGAAGGGAAATCAGCAGAACAAATTGGAGACACAAATTTGCCAACAAAATTTCAGTCTGCCTCCCCTGTGTCTATCAATATGCCCTACATTGCCCAGATGCAGCATTTGATAAGAGGTCAAATGCCACTTCCAGAGTGGAGCACCTAAAGCTCCTAAAGCTATCCTTGGGCTACCTCAGCTGTGGATGGGCAGTGCATGTGGACATGTCATCTGGAGTTGATGTGTAGGCCATTCTCACACCAAGACAAAGAGGCTGTGTGAATTTGCCCCAAGAGTATTTACAAAATGAAAGCCTTCAATTTTTTCAGTACACTAATAGCATTATACACCATATCATCTATCTATCTATCTATCTATCTATCTATCTATCTATCTATCTATCTATCTATCTATCTATCTATCTTTTGGCTTCTTTCAACCTCTGCATTCACTTAAAAAAGACACACACAAACCTGAACACCGAACAGAGATTCCTGATGACATATTACTATCTGTGGTTTGAGCTACGCCAAAATTTTGTTCCATAAAACCAGTACCTAATTGAATGTGTCTAACAGTCAGAGCCTTGAAGGTACTACAATTATTTGATCACATATTAGGTACTCCGATAATATGCCCTTCTCCACATGAGACTGCTCCAAAAGTAATTCTTAGAGGAATTCCTTTCTTCACTATTCTCTAGTTGTGCTTTAGCACATACTTTCTAATTGCCATTCCCTCTATGGTAGTAATTGGTGCCTAGATGTTAATGGCTGATGTGTCCAGTCTAGATTGGGGGAGCACAACTTTTCCATATACAGTACAAGGCCTGTGGCTTGTGTAGTGACCATATCAGTATCCTTGAGTGACTTGCTGTCTTCGAGGCTTTCCAGGTATTTCAAATTCTGTTGAGTCCATCAGGTATAGTATAACTACTGCCAATTTTGTATTTTATTTAAGCAACCAAGATGTAACAAATTCCCTAATTCTCTTCATTCTTTCTCTATGATCCTCATCTATTAAGAGGCGTGTCCATCTGATTGGCTACCTGTCCCTGTAGTTCTTCAAGTGGTCTTTGTGCATTCACATAATTCACCTATTGTCCCACATAAGAATGCTTTAATTGGTAGAATATGTCAGCTCAAGATAGTGATGCAAATATTGGAAGCTCCTTGGTCTTCCTGCTAAAAGCTCAGCTCTAGAGCATTCCTAACTATATTCTCTGCACCTGCAGAATCCCTCACCCATACAACCACTCTGTCAGCCACTGTTACAGTTAAGCAACTTGTTCAGATCAGACTGGTATATTTAAATATTTTAAAAGTTCACAAAAGGAATCCAAAAATGTTCACAAAACATGGAAATTGTGGAAATTGGACAGGAGAAAAAGGTTTAAGGAAAACCTCCCTTAATTCCTTTAACTCCTGGTGACTTCATGGAGATGTCTGTATAGTTTTCTTGTCAATGATATGGAAGTGGTTTGCCATCACTTTTTTCTAGAACATCTTTTTCAATATCTCAGTCTACACAACTAGGATTTCCTGATGATTATATCTAACTGCTGACCAGGTCCAACTCTACTTAGCTTTTTAAGATAAGGCCAGTTTGGCTAGGTTCTGTGCAAATAATACTGAATAAGAGAAAAAGTTTAGGAAAGTTAAATAGGGGTGAAGCAACATACATATGACATCATTTCAACCAGAATGGGTTGATTGATGCATGCATGTTGAAATAAATATACATAATTCTAAAAAGAAGCTGCTATTAAAAAATAACATGGCCAAAAAAGTGGCAGAGTCAATTTTTTAATTTAAGGGAGCATTTCCCACATGGTGAACTGCAACTTCTACAGGTTGTAGCCTCAGTGCAGCTCTGGGATAGTAAGTCAGAAAAATGTGATTTGAAGGCAAAATCTTGTAACTTGTTTTAGTGCTGGCTCTCACCCCTTGAAATTATTACAACAATAAGAAAACTTCCTTTTGTACAATATTGTAACTCAGAGAATAGAATATCTGGCATATATTGTTGATACATATTTTACAAATTTTAGTGATATGTGCTTGTTCTGTATTTTAAAGGATACAGTACTTTGCTATGTATGTGGCGCAGGAAATCCAATTCACATTAAAGAATGTATGATCTGTGAGAACAAACTTTCTGAAACCCAGATGGTAAGAATTTCTGTAATATAAACAATCTCTGAACACATACAGAACTATCTAACAAAAAGGCACTCAGTGAACTCTGGTTAGATGAGAGATCAACAACTATTTAAAGAGTTTCTGTGTAGCTTGCATCAGAGCTGAGCAACTTACAGCCCCAGGACCATAAGTAATCCCCAGTTTCTTTTTGAAGCTCCTAGAACTCCTTCCAACTGGTGAAAAAAGCACATGTGTAATATAAGAATCAAAATAGGCTTGTCACAGTTAAAAAGAGACCTACCTGCACCAAAAACAGGAAAACATCTTAATCCCACCCATATGTATGACACACTTGCAATCGCTGTCTCATCTACTGTGGCACTGGGCCCTCCAAACAAAGTGTTAAGAGTAATCTTTAACCATGAAAAATATTCACCACATGATACAGTGAGAGCTTTTATGTCCATATTATTGTATGTGGCCTTATTATTCTAGGGAATTCACAATAGTAAAACATACCAAAAAAAATTCCATTCCCAGAAATTCTAGTTAAAGTACCAAAACAGATATAAAAATAGTAAAAACCATATTATTGAAGCTTACAAAAAGGCAGCCCAAAGAGCACCACTTGGTTCCAAATACCTAGCAAAACAAAACTCCTTTTACTCCTTTATTCAATAGTGTGGAGCCCAATTAGATTTCTGGGAGGGAAGGTACTAATGGGGTAACCAAACAGGTCTGCTTCCAGGCTGCCATCCCTCTCAGCTCAAGCAGGATGGGGAGCCACAGCATTCCCTCCCAGGACAGGCAGATTCTATTTGGAGAAAACAGCCCCCAAATGGGAGCCAAGCCATGAAGGGTTTTTTATACACCAGGAGTTTAAATTAAATTTGGAAATCTGTTAACCAGTGCAACACCTGCAAAACAAATGTTCTATTATTAAAGTAGCACTCAACTGCCAGTAAGCAGGCAGTTGTATTTTGTAGCAACTCCAGTTTCTGAGTAGCCTTCAGTGCCAACCCAAAGTAGAGCTTGTTGCAATAGTCTAGCTTTGAAGTGATAAGTGCATGACTCACTGTCATTAGTACTTCCCACCTCAAGAAGAGCTGTAGTTAACACACTAGCCAAAGTTACGTGACGGAAATCTTGGCCACTGTCTCCGTTTGCTGATCAAGCAAAGCCATGCGTCCAAGAGAAGCCTCAAATTGTGAACCTGCTTCTTCAGAAGTACAACCTCTTCCAGAGTCAACATAGGCACCAAAATGGACCCATTCTGTTTGTGCATGGACATTATCTCCATTTTACTCGGTTTCAATTTTAGCCTGCTTTGTCCCATCCAATCTCCTGCAATCGCCATAAGCCGAGTAAGGTCTTCAAATGCATCTCCAGTTCAGGACAGAATGGAAATCTATAAATGGATATCATCAGAATATTGATACCTTACCCAAAAGCCAATGGATGACCCTTCCTAGTGGTTTCATGTAAATGTTAAACAGCATGAAGGAAAGAACCAAACACTATGTTATGCTGTGTTGGAGCAACCAGGAGCTCAACTGCTCTTCTCCATAACTATTGACTGGAATAATCCCCACAGGAAAGAGTGGAACTTCTGTAAAACAATGTTTCCTACTCACAACCTGGTGAGGAAAGGAAAAAGGTCAAAGGTCTTGATGAATGTCATCAGACTGAACAATATATGTAGTTTCCATACCATGTCCAAGTCTGAATCTTGATTGAAAGGAATCCAAAGAAGTTACTTCATCTAGGATTCCCTGCAGCTGATCCCCCACCATTTTCTTCAAAATTTCCTCAGAAAGGAAAAATTAGAGACTAGGCGAAAGCTGTCTAATAAGGTTGGATCAAGAGATTGCCTTTTCAGGAGAGGGCACATCACTGTCTCCCTCAAGGTGGTTGATACCACTCTCTCCCTGAAGAAGCCTTCATCTCCTTTCAAATCCAACCCTTGATAATAGACAATCTAGACAAGATGTATGCTACTCCCCACAGTTTAAATAAAAGATGCCTTATTTTTTGGTAAGGAATGTGTTATATAACTAATATGTGTAGGGATTATCCCAGACCATAAGTCTTATGTTCAGCATTTATAGTAACAAAGATTGCTGTGGATGACATATGTCATCAGAATGTTTTTAAGTATTCTCCTTTCAGATTTTTCCAATGAATAAATGGCTTTTTATCTAAAAATTATCCCTAGGATAATTGGGATGTTTAGGATGTTGAAAAAGAGAACTTCTGAGACTTTCCAGAAGAAAGACAGGCAATTCTTCCTCTTCTTAGGTGATGCTTGGTTGTGGCACTTGGGAGTAGTTTGGATGAACCAAATAAG